AAAAGGTGGAAGGAAAATTAAAAGAAGTTCATTTCTTACAATCTCTGTACAAAAAAGGCGAATGGATTAAAAGGTTTGATTTTTGAATGACGGTTGATTCTTTTGCATCTTTTTATCGAGACAAAACTAATACAAACTATTTTTAACATCAATCATTTAGATTTAGCTTTTGCCTAGAAAATATATTTTAGTAAACTGTTCATGCGCAGATGTATTTGTCAAATATAATCATGATTCAATAAATTGTGTTTCTCAATGTTGACATGAATATCTACTGATTGTTCCTGAATAAAATTGATACTGACATCTATTAAATTGTTCTTCTAATCTAGTTAATAGCAAATGAAAGTAGATGATTAATAAATAATATTCGGTTTAAAATAAATAACATTTTTGAAATAATTATTAACTTCATAAAATTATGTTAATAATATTTTTTCATCGCATTAATGAAAATATCAATAACTCATTTATTATTAATAACTATAATATTGATGCCGTCTAAGTAGTTGATGATATTTCTAACTGCAAGACTTTTTGCGGTGCCAGAAATAAAAGAGATAAGATTAAGATGCACAAAAAAATTTTGAAAGCTTTTTCTTGTTTTAAGATGTTTACCTTTAACAACTATGGTGACCAATATGTTCATTATTATTTTTGTATAACTCTCCTCATTATTCTTTATAGTGGTACTATCGTTTGTTGGATGACCTTCAAAATGAAAAGCGCATTATATATACACTGCTTAATTTGCCAATTATTTTTGCCTTTTCTTAAAATGATCCTTATCTCAAAGATTTTTCTAGTTTTAATTAATTTTTTCCCCAAAATTTTTCTATTAATTTTTTTACTAATTCTTTGTTGTTTAATGAAAAAAGATAAAATGGTCTATAATTTAAAATAATTATGAAGTTAATGCAATTAAAAATTCAAGGTGTCATCATTAATTATTGGAATGGTTCAAGGGGTTTAATAGGGCATTCATTTTTTTTGTGCAACACGCTGCATAAAGCATAAAGTCACACAAATAGTCAGTCATAAGTGAAATTTACCAAGCAATAAATAGTACATCTAAGAGTTAACACTACTGAAGTTCAACAAGTAACAATCTTCAACAGTAATGACACTAAAATTTCTTTAAATAATGATAAGGTTTGAAGATAAATTCAAATTCCTATTTAAATCTTTGCTTGCAAATCTGGAAATTTTAAATTTTGCTGTATCTTCATGCGTCAATATATTTGATTTGATTTGATTTCAATATATTTGATTTTAGTTTTTTACTAAAAATTTAAATTTCTCTCTAAAAATAATGAAGAAAATCTTTTTGTACAAAGCGAGTCAAGTGAGAATAAAGTTTTATTTTTTTATTTTCATTACAACGAATTTCATCGTCTAATCTTTTTCCATGCCCATTCGTCACCACATACACCCCGGCCATATTTTCAATGTCATGGTTATCGGTTTCAGAATCAATTTTTTTTCTAAAAATGCTTCATTGCGCCAGCATTTTGTAAATTCATAATTTTTTACCGTATATTTTGCTATCGAGAAAAATTCTCAATTCAATTTTTTTAAGGTCATGAAACAAATTCCATTTCCCTGAGTAAACATTTATTTGTGCAATTTTTTTAGCGAGGGAAAGTGAGAGATAGATTGAAACAAACGAATTCAACAGACTTTATCACATTCTCCCACTGAGTATCCATCACAATCGGTGAGAGATTAGCAACTCTCAAATGCTGCCGTGGACTGTGAAATATATTTTTCGAAAATTTCAAATTGGCGAAAATGCTGAGAGTATTTAATCGATGTGATAAGCTAGTCACAACGGATGTGGGCTAATTACAAATGCGATTTGATCGTGGCTCCTAATATTTTGGTTAGAGTACTTGAAGTTTTTACCCACAGATATCTCAATTAAAGGTTGAAACATTGCTTGGGAAAGGCAATAGATCTTTTATAGTGGTTTTGAAGTACTTTAATCTTTTGGAATTACGATCTATGGTTTTTTTATCATGAATAGCAGGCGTAGTTAACGTCGAAAAGCTTTTTAAAATGTTTTTAATTCATCTCCTCTATTTCGCTTTACCCTCAAATTATTAGATATATATTGGTTGCAAAAAAAATAATATTACATATTTTTCTTAAATTCAGTCAGTTAGTTTAATAATAACGTCATTGTTTAGAAATTGAATTTATATAATCTGATGTAAAATCATTTAATTAATACATGAAACACAGTCAACACAAATTTTATATTTCTTCTCCATACTTACATTGTAAATACTAAAGTTCATTTCTCAAATAATATCACTTTGCAATTCTATTATCATCATCACTAAATTTAAATTGTTGTGGGTACATATCTCAATTTTAATTTTAGAAATTTTCATCGATTCTCTTTTAATGTCATATAATCATTTCCAACTTTCTTAAGTAATTTTTTTAAAACATATGTCTTACAAATTTTGAACAATATATTGTTTGTAATTTAGTAATTGAAAGTGAATAAACCGCGCTTTGTACTTGATTAGTACGTGATAACATAATTATGCAACAAAACCAGTAATAAATAGTTTTAGAAAATACTCAAAAGTTTCCAGCTATTTTCTTCTTAGTTCCGATGTTCAACGATAATTTCAAATGAATAAATTGTTCTTCTTTGAACTGCAATCGAAAAAAAAAATTGATCTCAAATACAGAAAATCAACGAATAACATTCGAATTTTATGTCTTGTTTTTTACTCTCCAATTCGGAGTTATGCAGCAGAAATCAATGTAATAGTTTGTGTTCTTTTAGATAAAAAATTATTTGATATTACAACAATTTAATGTTGCGCATTTAGAATCACTTGATGCATAGATATCATAATTCATAGTTGCGCAATGAGCATTTCACGTAAACGCTTTTTCTGCGGTATATCTGCAAAATACCTTTAAAAATCATGAGCGATAATTAATAACAATTTGTGATTATTTTTAAGGAATATTAGAAATTTTTTCATTCTTTTTTTTCTGTGTAAATTAAGATTAATGCAACATGTTTTACTGGAAGAATATGAAAATTGTCTAAATTAACAATTTAAATAGGTGGAAAGCAAGAAATATTTTGATAACATTCTAACGCTATAAAGATAATAATACGGAATGATTCATAACTCAACAGTTTTAACCTGGGGGAAATATGAGGCCATTTATCAAACGTCCTTCTGCATTTACTTTTTTAACTAGTAATTACGGTTTCGTGCAATTATTTTTTCCCCTCTTTATACTAATTACCTTTAGAGTTTAGTTTTCATAGAAAATTAGAATTTCGATATAGACAAATTTCAGAAGATTATTATCATCTTAAGTGCTTTTAATTTAAGCATCCCATTTTAACATGAATTTAAAGACGAATAAATGTCCTACAGCATTATATATTTAAAAGAGAAAAGCGCAAATATTGAAAGAATGCAAAAATTGGCTTTTTGATAAAGTATATTCTTGATTAAGAAGTATTAGGAAGTATTGCAGTTATAAGTTAAGTAAAACAAAGTCTATTTAAAACGCATTGTGCTGTGGAGAAATGGAACTTGTCTCAAGACAATGTTATAGAAATAAACTGTAGATGAGAGGTAGAAGAGATGACTTGCTAGCACTGAAAAAAGAAGTACGTAAAAAATTGAAAATTGGAGCTCTGTTACTTAATGATGAAGAACAATTAGTAAATAATTTTCGTCATTTCAAAGAGAATCATTGATTTGAAACTTGGATTATTGGCAGATACATTTAATTGACTAGTTAAGGCGACCGATATATCATCTATTTGCTAATATTTTTTCATCAAATTCTCTCTTATTGCTGGTTCAGTCTCATTTAAGAATGCATTACTTATTACCTTTTATGATCAAAAAATTTTTATTGCAATATTTTTACAACTATTAAGTTGTATATGAAGATTACGTACAACTTTATCAGAATTATTTAACCTCATTGTCTTCATAATTGGTAAAGCCTTAAAATGAATTTCTCAAAAAGATTAACAATTAAAATCACATTAATTGAAAGATTCTTATAGTTTCAACTAAATGCTTTTATAACGTTTTAGTTTCTTCTGCATTATTAATACTTATTAATAAGATTTCACATTGATTTCATATTACTATAAATAACCGTACCAATAACAATTTTCCGGGATTATTCACGATAAAGAAACCGAGTAATGAAACTATAATTTTTCGTAATTTCTTCTATTCATCAAATAATTGGCTTTTAAAAGGAGAGCCAACCAGACCGCGAATGGTTGATTCAAATTTTGGTCTGAGTTCCCAAATAGGTACTTGCATTTTATAAAAATCGAAGAAAAATTTTCAGTATTTTAGCTGCTCTCTTAATTTAAATGAATCAATATGTAAAAGGACATCGTTGATGCTTTATATTTTCACTGTTATATTCATATTGAAAATAGTTTTTTTATTAAAAAGTGTTATAGTTGATCTGTATAATTAATGGTAAACACCTTTTTTAATATAACCATTAAAAAAGCAAATCAAAAAATTGATTACATTATATTATTAATTCTTTTCTTATTGATCAGCACAATTTTTTAATTTAACTTGTGCACCTAAAAAAATTTTAAATTAGATCCACAAGCCAAAATCTTAAAACTATATATTGAAAATAATCAGCTTCAGAGACTTTTTCTATTTATTTAAAACTTTCTTTTGTTGTTTTATGAACTTTCCTGAAAAATAATTATATTGCTCAATGAATTTCAAAAAACCTTTCAGGCTGACAATAAGTTTGGGCAATGGAAATGAATCATTATTAAAACTTCCCATTGCAAACATAACTATTTTAGTGGCTATTGACATACCGTCAAAAGAAATAACAACAATTGCTTCATTTCTACGCTTCAAATTATCTCGCGTGTAGAACAAAAATAATGACCATCATCGCATTTTTGTATCTTATATTTATAGATATAAGAATTATTCAGTTTTCATTTTCAGCAAATGTACAACTTACTGCCGTTTATATTGTTGCTCTCCATCCTGACTAGGATATCCATCGAATCTATACTGCGTAAAAAAGTACATCCTGATGGACGGAAAGGTTTTGATTATTTCTTCCTTTCAAATGTTAAAAAATAAATTAAACATGAAACTCAATATTTATAAACAACGGATGACAAGCAATAACTGAAAGTCTAAAAAATAAAACAGATGAAATACGACAAATGAAATAACATGAATTGAGTGTATATAATAAAAAATGAAAGTGACTCCAGAGATGTCATAACCTCTATAATATAATGCCCACAATACTATTCAACCGATTTTTAAATGATTCTACAGCAGAAACACCTACACAACAACCTCAAAGCCATAGCCTATCAAAAATCACGCAAGCACCAAAAGAACCATGCAGAATCAAAACATTGAACGCAAAAAAAGGTAAAATTCAATAAAAATATTCGTTGTACCAAAAAATAACAAACATCGATTACAGAATTCGCATTTGTGAAAGAGATCAAACACAACCAATGCACCTGCTCTTGTTCCTGTATCCCACTCACAGAAATTGACTATACAGCAAGATCAGCTAAGTCATCATCAATATGGCCACACGTGGAAGAAACAACATACAATCCTGAAATTTGGTTAACTGATGAAACAAGGAAACAACATACCGAACAGGATATAGAAATAACCCTTGTGGAATCGTTTACAGATTATGACAGCAAATCTGGAAGCGGTAATGCAATAAGTGCTGAAAAAGCAGCAGGAAGAGAAGGCACCGAGATACCTGGAAAAGAAGGAGAAGGAACTGCACGGACTGAAGGAGTTGCAAAAGAAGCAGAAGGAACTGAAGGAACCGAAAAAACTGAAATACCCGGAAAAGAAGTAGAA